TTGCTGCATCCTCCTCAACGACAATTAAAACGCAGATGGAAGTCCTTGTCGAAACGAATAATTTGAGCCCAAATGCAAGGTAGCTAATGTATGTTGAGGAGTTCATCTTATCTGTCTGCCATTTCCATCATCAGATTCTTTCAACAAAAACGAACAAAAAACAAAAAAGTGCAATCGAACTGAGTATCTCCTTCTTTTTTTGAAGTTGTTTGAAAAATCAATGTTTTCTTGTCTTGAAAATTTATCTTTTTGGTCGACAATAACCAATTTGGCGCATGTGTAATTTAAAAAAAAAACTGGATGGCTACGATAATATTTCATAGAGTATGATTAGTTAATATCCAAAATAAGCTTAAACTACGTTTGTGCAGAGCGCACTCGATAAACTGTCCTCTTGAAATAACGGCGCGACACCGAACTTAAAAACTCGTACACACAGCATAATATCAACTCTATTACAAAATAGCGTTGGTGCGATTTCGTACAAAATTAAATATGAAATAATCAAACACGATATATATATGACAATTCCTTTTCGAATTGTGAAAACAAACTGGATATTGAAAAAATACCTTGAAATGAGGTTTACCATCCCATTTATCAAAATATATACAAACGAGATAAAATTCATGACATGTTTTAACAGCAACTTGTGCTCTAAGCAATGTAACAATTAAATAAACTTTGGCGAACGTAAATAACTTATCACACGCTGAATAGAATGTATTTATATGCTTCTAATTATTTGAGCATTGTCACAACTAATACGTTACAATACCATTTTTTTACATTCAAAACATTGGTCAAACAATCAGCAGCCACCGTTACGTATTTACAGTATAATATAAACGGCAAAATGTTGCATTTTATATGATACTAATGCAATAAAAAAAAAATTAAAGCCTAGCAAAACTAAGTAGTTTTTGATAACAGTAAATGCAAATGTAATTCGAGTTAAGGTTGCAGTACAGAAAATTAAAACAGACCAATCGTGTGGCTTCAATAAGCAACATAATGTATTTTTAACGAGAATGAACAATACTAAGTAATGTTTTCCCTTCAATTTATCGTCATTTCTTGTTACCTTAACTTACTCTAACTAACTTTACTCTTTATAAGAGTCGACCCGTTGATCATATCCAATACGCATTATGCAAGTCACAATCTCGCATTAAAAAAAAATATAAATTCGCACTCTCAAAAAGGGCAGTTAAAGCATTTTTGTCAGATTTTCGCAAGAAAAAGTAAATTTCAATAAATAATTATTTACTTAAATCGATGGTGGGAACAGTTTTAAAAGTGATGTCGCTATAGCTCCTCTTAGCAAACGAAGCTTTCGTAAAGAATTTTAATAAAAGAATTCCTTTCTAACGAACTAATACTTCGTCCTTTGTTTTTTTTTGCGTATATACTAATAGTACGTATAGATACATTCAATAAAAAATGTCAGTTCTTTGTCAATTCATGAAAATACAAACACAACCATTTATGAATAAAATTATAGGGAGTTCAAGACCATTTACGCAGCACTATAATACATAGGCGGTTTCTCTACATATCATTACATATCTTTCAAACATTCGTACAATACCGTATTACAGCTATAACAAATTGTTTAATTGGTAGAGATAGAAATACTAGTTAATCTTTAAATGGTAAAAATCATCGAAAAAATGAAAAGAAAAATTTAAAACTAAACGTTTCTTATATTTATTCACACGAGCTACATTCCGATCACATCACAACAGCAAAACAGCAGTTGGAACTCGTCTCGTGTGATTACTCCCTAATATACAATTTTGCCAAGTAGCAATCTTTACTTATAGGTAGAATGCATAAGTGACACCAAGTCCGCGACGCTATAGGGACGCGGACCATTATAATAATAATAACGCATACACTCTACATAGCCCCGCACAAGGGAAACCCTGTGTCGCGGGTGCCATGGACACACACACACACACACACACACACACACACACACACACACACACA